AGGAAGTTTCAAAACGTCTTTTCTCCACGGGACCTATTTGGAGCATATACCATGCACACAATGCAAGTACATGATCAAGTATGGTGAGGGCTTATGAGATTCGCTTTTAGAACAGAAAGAAGGGTCAATTTCCCTTGCTGTAAATGATCTCTAATCAGAGCTTACAGCAAGGTAGATGAAAGCCAAAGGGTGCTCTAGTGGTGGCATGTAGAAAAAAATATGGTTCAAAAGGGCATAATGCAAGTATTCAATTTAATATGGTAAAGGCTTGTAAAACTGAACCATAGATCATGATAGGGTCACTTTACCTCGCTGTAATTGAGGCTATATGTGATTTACAGCAAGTTTGATGAAGGTTGAAGCTCCATCAATGGTGGTGTGGAGCTTTGAGATGCTATGGACCATGTGAGTTGTATTGGAGAGCGGAATAAGGTTATGTGATCTTCTCTCTCACGGACCTATGGACAATGGAGAATCGCTCACTCACTCTCTCTAGGCTTAGGTGTGCCAGTCTTTGGACTCACACTCTCTCTAAGCAACATAGCATCACATTGGTTGGAATGTACAAATGGGTGAGGACCCCTATTTACAGGCTCGAGAGGAGAGTGCATAGGATATTCCTGGGAAAAGCACTGAAAACCCTTGGTCATTGAGATCTATGGGGTATAAGAGAAGCTTTGATCTAAGCCATCCATTCCTTTGCCAATTATCACAGATCAAGCGCATGAATTTAAACACCATTATACCCTTGGCCAAATTCAAACTCAATTTTCCCTCCAATTTGAATTCAAATTTCCCATCCAATTTGAATTCAAATTTCCCATCAATGTTTCATTTCAAGACCACGTCCATTTAACCAAAATTCGAGTTCTTCAAAATGAAAAGGTTGCCCATGTTAATTTGAGTTAAATTAGGAGAGAGAGTGACACTGTTAGAGGCATGTCCCTTAGATCAATAATTTCTCTCTCCTTTCACATGAAGTAAGAGATTGCAGAAATTCTGTCTTTTAAGTAAACTAACTTGCACATGGGGTGGTGAATGAGAATGTGATAGTGTCCATCCAAATGGTACTTCAATTTAAAATTGACTCTACAGGTTTCAAACCAAATGTCAAACCTTGTGCCCTTTCCAGATGTTTTGCACACATTACATATAATACACTTATGCACACATCCAAACACCCCCTTAGTAGGTGACCTCATGTGATGAGATCATGTTAATGATGTCATGTTGATGTCATCAACATGTGGATGAGCTAGGGCCCATGTGTGGACAGCTCCTCACTTAAGGCCATCTGAAGCCCATGGCCATGGGCCGCATCTAGACCCACCATCCTGTCTTTAAATGGGATTTTCTAAAACAATTTATTTAAGTCAATTTAGGCTCTTGAAAATAAATAAAATTCCTAAAAACAACCAAAGATCACTTTTAAACTTTTCTTAGCATTTTGAGTTAGTTTGGGTTGTTAAAACGAACTTATAGGGAAATTAGTTACCTTTAGAGCTTGATATCACACAAAGTCAGGACACTCTAGTTGGCTTACTCCAAAACTCAACCATTTTCTCAAATTGACCCAACGGAACCCATGACCCACAATCTTACCCATAGGCTCACACTTGGTGCATCAAAGACGAGCAATAGAAGGTGGTTTTCAAGGATCTTAATCGAGTATAAGTAACCCCCCAAGGATAAGTATACTAAGCACCATTCATAAGGCATAAACCATAAACCAAGGTAGGGGTGTTCTTCTCTCAGCACATGTGCACAATCCCTTAACCAATAGATCACGTGGAAAAAGGAGCTTCCCCAAATGTGGCTGTTATATATCAACATGTCGTGGGTTAAGTCAAAGGTCGAGGTTTTGGCCCATGCCCTCACAAGCCACCTACCAACAAGGGATATCCTCTTTCCTGGCTACTTCAAGATATTCTTACACTCGATATCAATCACAGCCAAACTCCTGCATCGGCCATTCCACAGTCAATCCATACATGCTTGGAGGGACTTCAACCGAGGGATTAACCCAAACCCCTCACGGTACCCTGCTAGCCTATGAACCAAAATTGTGGTCAAGGTTTTGTGACTCAAAGACACCACTTTTGGGCCTCAAACCACCTGGGCCCAGTCCGTCACATGGGTCCTTTGCTCCCACTAGTGTCAAACTCCATTACAAAGAGTAGGAGTTCATAGTGTCAGGGCCTTGAAAGGCCACATACATCCAACATTAGTTAGTTTAAACTGATATTTATTCATTTATTGCAATTATGAAATGTGATCAATGATTTTAATGTGTTTCAAGTGCATGTATATGTATGTATATATGTATATATGGTTAGGATACATACACATGCACAAATGATCAATAAATATGGATGTAAGAGCATTTAGGGTATGCATGGCAGCTAGACGCCTCCAACTACATATGGTCCACCTAGCATGCCCTTTGATATTGCTACATGGACCAATTAGACTATGTATGCCAATTACCAACACATAAAGTCATGTGCTTTAATTGGTAATTTCCCTGAGAGACTACAAAGTCAAAGAACATATTTATTTGCCTTAAGTGAAAATTCAGACATTCATGAAGCCCTAAAAACATAAAATTTTCAATAAATGATGTCTAGCCTCAACTATCTCAATGAAGAACATCATTGATCATAGTTATTAAGAGAGTTGTAGGATAGAAGATTTTGTCATCACAAAGGATAGATGCCGCTGTAAATGATTGCGGTATCAACCATTTCAATGAAGAATATCATTTATCGTAATTAAGGGATGTTGTATAGGCTAGATGCCTAAGATTTAGTCATCACAAAGAGATAGATGTGATCTATTTTCACAGGTTGGAGTTGGATAGAAGAGTATAATATCAGTAGGACTTCGATGATGACATCAACGCACCCAAACCTGTCAATAGGACTCCAGTGAAACCATGGTCACTTATATGTCCATATAACATTTTCAATTTAAATAAATGGATTTATAGCAGAGACAATTTCAAAATTTTGATGTAAGGATAAATCACATGGAGATGCCCATTACAGTAATATGTGTGATACCATGTTTCCTTTATAGCCATTGGTAAGAGTTAATTAATGAAAAAGAAAAATAATTCAGAGATCGACACATAATTTCAAGCATGTATGTAACCATATCTAAATAACTGACATAAATGACATAAATGATAGAAGAAAATATGTGGATCAATTATTATAATAGAACTCGAGTAGAATGATGTATTTGTGGCATATGTCCAGAGAAATACATAAGAATAGCAGCCACTCATGTATTGTTCTAGTACCAAAAGTGCCACCATCCTTTCATTAGTGAATGATTTAATCCAAATATCCAAAACAAAAAATCTTACAACCTTCAATAATAATGAGCAGTAGAAGTATTGGTAAAATCACCCCAACCTGTCAATAGGACTCCAATGGAGATAACGAGTATGATCCCCAGCAGCTTAATACTCAGACTCTCCAACCTTACAAAATAAATTTGAACTTTAGAGAATCGAATACAGGAAAAAAATAATCAAAGAAAGGGGAAAGAAACATAACAACATTGGTAAACAATTATTAGACAATACGCTCTTTTTCTTTTTTGAGTAAATGTGACTAATAAGAAAAAGGGATTTATGTAGAAGATTGAAACAACCATCAAACCAAGAAAATGTGGCACAGACATCGAATGGGTTTATGTTTCAGACATGTTCCAAAGTGTCTAACACCCTTAAAATCAGAGATCGGAAAGAAAATCCATACAGTTGTGATGCATAACAATAATGGGTTGATTCGAAAATTTATTGTTATTTTTATTTTCAAATATGTGGGTAGATTTATGTAGAAGATTGAAACAACCATCAAACCAAGAAAATGTGGCACAGACATCGAATGGGTTTATGTTTCAGACATGTTCCAAAGTGTCTAACACCCTTAAAATCAGAGATCGGAAAGAAAATCCATACAGTTGTGATGCATAACAATAATGGGTTGATTCGAAAATTTATTGTTATTTTTATTTTCAAATATGTGGGTAGATTTTTGGGTTAGTTTTTAGGAATTTTATTTAGTAAAAGTTTTTTGGTTTTAGGGTTACGTTTTGTTTTTTTAAAAGGTCGTATTATGTGCTTTTTAGGGTGTCTTTTATTTTTGAAAAGCTAGAATATCTTTTAGATTACATTTTAGAAACTTTGCTTCCTTATCTTTTAAAGATTTACTTGAATAGCAATTTATCGATAAGAAAGATTGATGAGAATAGGACGTTATATCATAGAGGAGCAAGAAGTTTGTCTAGTAGGGAAACCTTTATCCTTCAATTGGGAGTATCAATTTATGTACACGCAACACCCTCAATGGTGCTTTGCTTCCCGATACAACTATCATGTATAAATGTCGTGTGATGGTCTACAATGAGAATTTGGCCCTTGTCCCTTCAGGCCTACCAATCACTTACAAGGATCACACAGTCCCTTAGAAAACTACCCGGGCATCTCCGATTTAATCAATGGGTAACCCTGCTAATCCTTCTTGGTTGTCCTCTATGCCCAGGTATCTTAGGGTTTTAATACTCAACTGGCCTAGGTCATCAAGCCTAGTTTGAGTCTCAACATCAATATTGCCAACCTCGGTCCCTCTGGCCCATACTCCCACTGGAGTTTATTGTTCCACTATAGTCAAATTGGTTACATGCTCTCATAAGACCTTTAAATGTCCACAATAACCCAACATCGATATCGGCCCAAACAAGAAAGTCTTGCTTCCCAAATCTCATCTTTGACAACCACTGCAAGCCTCAAAAAGATTGGGGATGAACATCCTTTAATTTCGTGAGCATTTGACGAGGTTGAAAAAAATTTCGATCTCTCTACAAATCTTCAAATCTTGTTTTTTTCAAGGTTTTTCTCACTCTAAACCTCACTAAAAACATTTGGAGGGCAAAAATGGCTCCCAAAACCTTTTTCCCCACTTTTTAAGGGGGGATATGACAAAATTACACAATGACTGAGGGGCATTTTCCACCCTCGGTGTCGATTGTTCGAGGCGGCTAGGCACCCGCCTTTTATGCCACCTAGGCGTGCACCTTGATGCACCCACCTGGAGCATACCACCTAATCCACGCCTATTCAATTTGAGAAAATGGCTGCATAGGCGGCAAGGCGGCCAAATTTTCTTTCATTACATTTAGGTCAAGTGGTTGTACCCTGATTCTGTTCACGTCATTCAATGCGTGCAAATTGAAATCTATAACAAAGGCCTGATTAGGGACCTTTGAAACAACCCTCATTACTTTCCTATGCTTTTCTTCTCTTTGAAGAAGAGCATAGACATCAGATCAATGGTAATTTTTCAATGGATAATACAAGAATGAGAAACTTCTCATAATCATCATTATAGCCAGCTAGGAGTTCGAAAATATGCCTCTTCTTAGCTTGGTTTCGCCATTCCAAACTAGCATTCGCAGACATACATGGTGAGAGCTCATAAAGTTTGAGTTCCTCCGATCCACATGTTTGACTACTCCATAATATTCTGACAGCTATTGCTCTCTTTGAGAGCATAACGTTATGTCTCTGTGAAGCTAGTATACTCGGGCAATATTATCTTTTTGAGAAAATTTCTCTTACGGTATCCCAAATTTCATGCGTCAAATCAAGGAAAATAAACCATCACCAATGGTTTCATCTAAAGATATGAGAACCCATGCCATAATAAGTGAATCTGATCCCATATGTTATGTAATCTATGGGTTAGAAGGATCAGGGCACATGGATGTTCTATCTAACTAATCTTGTATTTTCTCTCAAGTATCATTGTGATCGACTTGGCCCATGTAAATAGTAGCTAGCATTCACAGTTAACTTGATGGTAGCAATTTGCAAGGCCTTTGGGTCCACTGAGGATGGATTCCTTCGATCTACCATTTAAAGGTTGAGATAGCTTCCTAGCAAAAAAGTTGATAAAGAGCTTACCTAAAGATGATGTTCCAGGCATGTGAAAGGAGTGGCTATGTAGAACTCAAGGTATTAAATTCAAAAAAATAATTTTTCTTTATTCTATACACCTGAATTCCACTTACATGGGTCAGTTTATGTTGTCATAAATTAAAATAATATAATTATCCAAAAAAATTAAGATAATATTCTAGATACAACACAGGATCTTTATTTTCACTGCCAAAAGAAATAAAAACTATCCAAGAGCTTTAAACAAACTTCCACTATAATTTTTTTGCTACAATACATGTACTTAAAAATTCACAAAAAAAAATAATACTGAAAATTAATTAAAATTACTGAGAAGACTTATTGGAAGATGCCTGGAGTTGCCCTCATAGATCTTGGTACATCCCACACTCGATTCTCTGACCGACGCGCACTTTGACTCCTTTAAGTGTTGATGGAATTTGATATAGAGAAGCTTTGTAGGCAATACTTTTTTTTCTAGGGCTTTAGAGAGCTAAAAAAACAAATAGGATTTATAGAATCCCTATGTGAAAAAACTAAGGCTAAGCTTTATGACTTGATTTCTCTCTAGGTTGGTTGTCACCTTCCTTTTCTTCAAAATGCAGCAAGCTTTTTTTTTTTGAGAAATATCTCATTTTGGCACCATAGAAAACGTAATTGTCAACAATTCAAAATACAACAAGCTTCACTTAGGGTTTTGAAAGTCCCATCTTTCCTCCTTTTTTTTTTCTTTTGACAGAACTTACTCCAACAGGTGGAGAGAATGGATGGCGTGGTAGAAAATATGAGAGAGGGTGGCATGAAAGAGAATAGGAGAGAGGGTGGCATGAGAGAAAGAGGGAGAAAGATTTTTGTTGCATGAGAGAGAGAATCTTGTTGTCTTGAGATAGGGGGTTCGAAACAAGATCAAAGTCCTACTTTGAAAAGGATTCCAATCTAAGTATGCCTTATCCAATTTCAGCTTGACCTTTACAATAATGAAGAATCTGTGGGGCGAGAGAGATTTAATTAGAGTCATCCATCCCACAAATCAGCCATCATGATTTTGGGTGGAAAATATAAACTTTATCCACTTAAATTTTGACCCAAATTCAAATCCTATTTAAAAATTGAAATACAACCAAACTTTATCATTATCTAGATCTCCCATAATCAAGGATACTCTATATTTAAAACTCCCATAAGATAGAAAACCAAATCTAATTTAGATTGAAGAGATTTCCTATCTTTACTGATTATGAATTTTAAACAATAATAAGAAAGTGGGGCGTGTCCCCCCACTTCCTAAATAAGTAGCTTGGTCCCCGTATTTCCTAAATAAGTGGCGTGCCACTTTTTTTATATAAAAAAATTTTGGGCGTTGCCCCCTCAAGGGTGGCACCTGGTCCCCACTCTTAAAAAAACACACACACATGTGGGGTTGAATCCTTAGTCCCACAATGTTATTTTAAATTCTGGAAATTTTAAAAATACCCTTTTGATAAAAATTGCAACAAAAAAACAATATTTTAAAATTCTGAAAAATATTTTAAAAATCGTAAAAACATTTTTAATATAAAAATAAAGAACACTAGTAGTGGACTGACACCAATGGATCAAAATTAACAACAATAAAGGCACTCCACTCGTCCCCAAAAGACTATTGTATTCTTATCCTTCTCATCAAAGACCGATGAACCACAATCTCATTGCAGAGGCTCATGATTGGCTTGTCAAAGTTGGATAATAAACAGTGGGATTATGATCCTATAATGTGGATTTCAATTCCCTATTTTAAGAGAAAATCTTGCACTTGTCACCACAGTACAAAGAGGACTCTCTATGCACATGTACACATGTTCCTCTATAGAGCTGCTTCCCAGTAATGTGATTATCATGTGTACATGCCATGGAAAGTTTGTTGAGGCTTTGGCTCTTACGCTCACAAGCCTACAAACGCATACAGGAGACCACACAGTTCTCCTGGCCTACAAACATCATCTCTAGGCATCTCTTCGACCTCACAAGGGATGACCCACTACAAACCCTTCTCGGTAGTGCCACATACCCAGGGGTAAAGGTTTTGGATATAACCAAGGCCATAAACCGCCCAACCCTTGGTCAGTCACCACACACTCCCGCTGAAGTGCATATCTCACTATAAAATATCATATTTAAAAGTTCTCTAGGCCTTTAAAGGCCACAAAACCCAACATCTCCCACTTGGCCTTTGAAGGTCGCACAATCACTCCCTCTCAATTTTTCTCAAGCTCATCCAACATGTTTGGCAAAAATATTTGCCACCAATCTTTCTGTCAAAGGATCTGCTAACATAGACTCTGTCGAGCGATATGCAATCTGAATCTCTCTCGGTAGTGCCACATGCTCAGGGGTAATGGTTTTGAACATGACCAGGGCCACAAATCGCCCAGCCCTTGATCAGTAAACACCTACACTCCCACTAAAGTGCATATTCCACTATAAAATATCAGATTTACAAGCTCTTTAAGCCTTTAAAGGCCACAAAACCCAGCAGCTTGTATAATCTTTGAACGTTTAGAAACAGTCTTTATTATTTCAGGCAAAAGGCACATATACATGATCACTCAAAAAGTGCAAACCCTAGGGTTCCTTCCAAAGTTTAAACCCGAGACCTGAAAATATACGTGCAGGTATTGTTCACTGCAAACCTTGGTCCGATACCATGACAAATTTGTTGGCTTGGATCTCTGAGGCAGAAAGGAAAGTAAGAGAAAGAAAGCATGCACAACGAAGGCAAAGGAGGCATGTTGGAGGCCACAAGATAGGCCTAGGGTTTGTGTGCTTAGAATTTATGCACATAGTAAGTTACAAAGGCAACTTTGTCGTACAGAGTTTACAAAAGGACTAACCTGTTTGTTGTACGTCATTTTTGACGTACTTACACCTCCCACGCGAACAAAGAGAGAGTTGGTAACAGCTCGGTCCTGCTAACACTCAAAACACTGACAGACCAAAGTTGTACCGCGAAATAAGTCTCGAATCAAGCAACCTGGGAGGAATGTTATCATGCCAAAGAAAGACCTCACAACTGTAGCCCTATACTAGCCGCTTCAGAACGATACCAGACTACTGTCATCGCACTCAGAATGTCGAAAAAACCCCGATGATCAAATTTGGGCTCAATCGGACTACCCAAAAAGAGTATACGCCCTTACGGCCTCAAAACAGGTAGGTTTTACATTATCGCAATGCGGCTTCACTGAACCAGTCCCCAAGCACGGAGACTGCAACATCGCATCTTGAGATGGACTTCGAAGAACCCACGACAACTTCACCAAGAACCAAAAAAAGTACAAACTTCGACATGTTCTAGATCACGCCAGCCCCGTCATTTTGACCTAGGGCATGCATTGTGGCGCGACCCAGAGTCAAACTTCTTCTAGAAAGAAGGTGACCACAAAACCAGAAAAATCAGGGTTTTTAAGAAGAAGACATCTCGAACCTCGTGAAGCACAGCTTGGAATCCACTCATGGGATCATCGCGAGGACGAGTTCAATGCAACCACCTCGTGAAGAGCTACAAACTGGTATAACTATTGTACCTCATCCAAGGCCCGATAAGTACAGATCCCCACCTTGCTGAAAAAGCAAACCCGCTCCATCACCGGAATCCCCTTTCCCGGTGACGTCCCAAATTAAGAATTGCTACAAATGAAGACCAAAACAGACCAAACTTGGTGTAAAACGACTATGACAGACTCCTCTTTCAAATGCAAACAGAATGAAGACTCAGAGCATCACAGGTCGGAGGGCATTAGCAACCGAAGTTCACACATCTAGCCGGACTTCCACCATGTGGGAAAAAGGTTGCCTCAGCACGACTAAAGGGCATCAAAATGCTCAAAATCGAACAAGCACTAAGGATATAACAACAAATCGGCTGAACCATCGCTACAAGTCCACAGAAAAGCTTCTCAGATCTGGCAATGGTGGAAGGACCCTCAAGCAAGGATGGTTTTGTCATTCACATAAAAGGTCCCAGGGGCGTTTTGGCCATTGCACCTAATTTTGGGATTTTATTATAATTTCTTAAATTGTAATTAAGCTTTGTTTTTTAGCGTTCACCTCTGTTTGGTAAATCCTCTATATAAGCAAGCTTAAGTCACTTGTAAAAGGGTGGATTATTGAGCATCATTCATAACAAAAATAGATGCATAACGCTTGTTTTCATTCGTCTCTTGCTTCCGAATCCTTAATCCCGCCAAGAGGAGAGATAAAATACCCCTGAGTGCTCGGTCATGTCCGTCCCAAAGCGAGAAAACATCTCCACCCTCACAAGCACGTTCTATTCCTCTCTCAAGCCGGGTCACGTCCCGCACCCTTTCTCTCTCTCCTCTCCTCTACGCCTCATCTGCCCTAGGCAGCCACTCGCGCCCACTAGCCATGCACAGTCACGAGCGCGCCCGCGAGTACCAATCCTCAGTTTCTCGCTCACCTTCCTAAGCCAGCCAGCTAGTCCTCCTCCCAGAGGGAACTGTCGCGAGAGGGGGATAGCCGAGCCCCGTTGCAGTTGCACAAGAGAGAGAGAAGAGACTTTCTTGCCTAAAGAAAGTCCCCGCCCAAACCGCAATGGCAAACAGCCGGAGGGCTTCGTGACTGTTCTAAGAGGGCGAACCGCCCGAGCATGTCCCACGAACCCCAAGCGGCAAGGCAAGGGCCCGAACGCACCTCCCCCGCCGTAAAATCTCTCTCGTTGTTGGTCCCTATCCGCGCACAGTAGAGCCCCCACTCCCCCGCACCCACAGGTGCCCAGCTCGAGCGGATCCCTTGCGGTTGTTTGAGAGAGGGTCTTCCACCCAGCGCGCCCGCCACACACCACGTGACCGCACGAGGACCGAGGAGAAGACACCCCACACCACGCAACTGCACGAGGACCAAGGCGAAGACTAGGCCCCGACCACTATCCTAAAGAATGACAAATAAAATACTAAAGAAAGAAAAAATCCCACATTGAACTTTCGAACCACATATACAAAAATATACACTCTCTCTACAGTCACTAAGTGCATGATACCTTAACAAGATTTTCTTTTACAGCCTGAATATCATAACAGAGACTTGATCAGCAAAATCATAAAATTATCACGATTTGGCTCATAGGATTCAAAATAGTTTAATCCTCTCTATGTAATTAAAAAGAGCACAAGAAAGAAGATTATGGACATAATGAATTGTAAAGCAGGTTGAATACTGACTTATCAAAAATAAAAATAAAAAAAGAAAAGAAATGATCTAAGTGATAGGAACTTACCTGAATGCAAATGCAAATAGGAGGAGAAATATTGGAGAAGCGGATTTACACTGTGAAAGGAAACCATAAGAGATAAATATTCCAGCAAAGATGCCATGGCTCAAAATAATATAAGTTGATATTTAATAGTCGAAAAAAATATATAACTCATATTCAGAGACCTAGTCAATTGGACAACATAAACCAAAAGTATTGAAAAAGCTATAAATTGGTAATAATAAGTAGAAAAACTAACCATGGTAGCAAATGTGACAGATATGAAAACAAGAGAAGCATTGCTCAGATTTATATCCAGTGCTGTCGCAATAGCCGTTGGTACAACTGCTTAAGCAAAGGGCCACCTGTAAGATTAGTTTACGGAAAACTGCAATGCAAGCAGAGTTCAAAACCATGCATAACAGAAAAGGATAAGAAATATTTCACTAAACATCTGTAGGCTTGGTTACACAGGAAACTACAAAACAAGCACAATTCAAAACCACATAATTCAAAACCATATAAACAAAACCACCATAATCCAAACCATATAGACCATATAGTTCACTAATATATCCTATCTCTCTTCTCCTTCATTCCTTTTCCAATCCACTGCACAAATGATTACTAATGCATTCAGAGGACCTCTTCTTTGAGTCTAAATCTTCATAGGCAATCTCCCCCACTTCCCACCCCCTTCCCCTCCTATCCTCCTCTAGCTTTATTTCTTTCTCACCTTAGCTCTTGCTCCATGACCATGCTCTTCTCTTCTTTCGATATTAAGATACAGGACCAGTTTTTGTTCATTAGCACACAAAGAACTTCAGAGGACCCTTTTTACTCTAGACCCTCAAAGAGTTTTTGTTGCCCTTTTCCCCAGCTCTCTTGCTTACCTTCTCCTCACACACACTCTCACCTTCTCCTCACACACACTCTCACCTTCTCCTCCCACACTCTCTCTTGCTCACTTTCTCCTCCCATACAACCTCTCCTAGTCATCTATTCTCTATATCGTTCTCGTCTCACACTCTCCCCCTTCTCTTGATCACATACCTATTCCATGTGTGCTCCCCTTGACGTGTTTTATTCTTTCCTTTCATCTTTTTCGGGGGATCGTTTTGGACAATATTTCATTTTTTCTTCACTTTTGGCTGTATAGTCGGAGCACTCCGTCTATGGATGCTTTTAACCACATCTTGTTGATTTTTGTACAACATTACATTAAATAAAGTCAACATTCTCCCAATATATATATATAGAAACAAAAATAAATAAGGACACATATGATTCAAGACATGAATGAAAAGCATAAAAACCATCATAACCCATTATTTTTTTCTCTCAATTATGATTTTTAAGCTTGGTAGTTTCATTAGAAAAATTTGTCAAATTTTTCAATTAGTAAACCTAATGCCTCTGCCCATTTTTGTATATGTATGTCTTTAGGTTTGAAAACATCACTCCCTTTTTCTATTTCGCCTTGTTCATTATTCATTTTGGGCAATCATTTCTGAAATTTCTTGTTTGCGATGACACATGGGGGTACTTTGATGGTGGTCCCTTTTCCAAGGCCCAGTGATGAGAAATTTAGCACCCTGGAAGATGAATATTACAATACTCATGACATGGAAACAATTCAGTAGCAGCACCAATGCTATAAAACTACTTCGATATTCAGCCAGTGGGAATCTGTGAAATCTTTTGAGACAAGTGTACCCCCAATCTGATCATATGCACTTTTTCAACTCAATCAATAACTCATGACAATCGCCCAAATGTTGGGTTTTGTGGCCTTTAAAGGCCTAGAGAGTTTGTAAAAATTATATTTATAATGGAATATGTACTTCAGTGAGAGCGTGTGAGTTGACTGATAAAAAGTTGGGCAGTTTATAGCCCTGATCATGTCCAAAACCCTTAGCCCTAGGCATGTGGCACAACCGAGAAGGGTTTGCAATGGGTCATCCCTTATGGAAGTCGAAGAGATGGCCAGAGATCATGTTTGTAGTCCAGGAGAACTGTGCAGTCTCCTGTGTGCTGCTGTAGGCTAGTGAGAGCAAGGACTAAAGTCTCAACAAACTTTCGCAATCCATGTACACATGACAACCGCATGGGAAGCTGTCCCATAGAGGGACACATGTACATGTGCATAAAAAGAGTCTCATTTGCACTGAGGTGATAAGTGCTAAACTTGCCCTTAAAGGGGGAAACTAAAATCCACATTCCTGGATCATGGTCCCACTGTTTATTTTCCAACTTTGACAAGCCAATCATGAACCCATGCAAAGAAACTATGGGTCATGGGACTTTGTTGAGTTGGATATGAGAACAATTGTGGATCATGGTTTCTAGGGAAAGTGGAATGCTCATATTGTCCCTTATTTTAATCCATTAGTACCAGTCCACTGTTTATTATCCAACTTTGACAAGTCAATCATGAGCCCATGCAAAGAAACTATGGGTCATGGGACTTTGTTGGGTTGGATAAGAGAACAATTGTGGATCATGGTTTCTAGGGAAAGTGGAATGCCCATATTGTCGCTTATTTTAATCCATTAATACCAGTCCACTCTTAATATATTTTATTTTGGCATTATAAATGTTTATATAATTCTTAAATTTTTTTCAGATTTTTTAAATATTATTTCTGCCCTATTTTTATAAAAGGGCATTTCTAAAATTTCATATTTCATAACTTTACACAGCGCCCCCACATGTGTGTGCCACCCATATAGGGCCCACATGAACTCCTAGGGTGGCATGCCACTTTCTAAGCACTTAAGGGGGCCACGCCACCTTTATGAAAAGGGGGAGCACACAACCTTTTTAGCTAAAAAGGTGGCACGCCATTTTCAAATACAAATCGTTCAAGTGAAATGCTAAAAAAGGGCAAGGGGTATACCCAAAAGGACATGGTTGGAAGTAGTGAGAAAAGATACGGGAACTTATAGCCTCATTGAATGTATAGCCCTTAATAGAATATAATAGCGGACCAACATTTGTATAGCCAAGCCCAATTAGTTGAGAAAAGGCTTTGACGATGATGATGAGGACCATGTATTCCAATTACCTAAGCTATCCTATGTAATTTCCACCATCATATTTATCCAATAAATGAACTTTGTGTAAACATTTTGCATATAGATCAGAAGGGCGTTAGAGACACCATGTTTTGTGTAGGCATTTTGAAGAATCAGTAAGACATCAAGGTTCATGAGATTTTACAGTTTCTAAGAACAAATTATTTACAAGATGTCCTAGGTTCCACCATTATTATAACATCTGAGGTTGTAATTTCCAGTTACATATGCTATACTATGTAACTTTGCATATTGAGATACAAATGGTATATGAGACAGAAAGCTAGTCTCTTGCTTTTTCACTAATTTGGAAAGGTGGGATTGGACTCAGACCTGCAAGTAAAGGATCGAGTAAAAGAGCTCAATGAACTTAAGCAACAGCCAAAACCCTGAGCTATTCTCTGGCAAAAGACATCACATCAGACACAATGGGATTTATTTATGCAACGTTTTGAATCACAGAAGCTTTTTATTTTAGGCCACTTCCAAATGACATACTGTTTTGGCGAACTTCCTCCAAACCATGTTACTGTCAATGAGAGATGCAAAACAAGAATCAATTTTACCCATGAAAAGGAAATAACTAAGCGTGGCTTTAATGTACACATTCATTAAACAAAAACACTAAGGTATGAGAAAATATAGTGACCTCTAATGAAGTAATCTGTCCATGACATTGTTCCACCGGATTTCATGGACCAATACCACAGAATGAGCCTCGAGAAAACTGCTTGCATTGCAAAATGGACTGTATTCATCAGCAAGGGAGCCGGAAATTTCCCCAATTTATCTCCCAACAAACTCTTGTTGTACCTAAAAGAAATCTGTGCATTAAAAATGGTGAATCTCTCTCTCTCTCTCTAAACTCAAGTCTCTCCCTCCATCTCTCTGGTTTTCTATTGTTGCAGCCACAAGTGTCCCCAATTGGGGCAGTTGGATACACAACATTCAAATTTTGTCTCTGAATTTCATAATTCTCATCAATAAACTACTAAATAATTTAGCAAATTGTCTCTCTAACAACTCGAATATGAGCAAATAATATTACCTCCCTCATAATCACTTGATATTTACACATTCTTGAAAGTATTTGGAATGTCGTGGAAAAATTACAGTCGTTAAACTAGGAAATACTCTAATAAATTCTGGTCCATTAAATATTAAAAAATATGGCATATTGCTCATTGTGTTCATCTTTTCTCTATATTATATTACATTCAAATTTGCTGCAAATTATAGTGTAGATCAGATCGCTGATACATGTTTACCAAACCTATTCTACAAAAACCAATGAACAAACCCAAAAGAACTGAAATTTTGGAAAATTACAAAATTTTGGGACAAAAATTTTGGAAATCCCTTCTGGTTTGGTTCTTGGCTCGACGAAAAAGAATTGAAATTTTGGAAAGTTGGTTCCCATAACCATTCTCATGGATCTTGAGCCCGAAACCATGGATAGTGTGCACACTGGTCGTTACGGCCAGATCTTCAGGTCCGATAATTTTGTGTTTGGTCAATCTGGTGGAAACAATTGGGCCAAAGGCCACTACACATAAGGGGTAGAGCTCATTGATTCAATGCATGATACGGTGAGGAAAGAAGCAGAGAACTGCGATTGCCTTCAAGGATTTCAAGTATGTCATTCTCTTGGTGGATAGACTGGATCTGGAATGGTCAATATTTGTAATACAAAAAGGTGAGGGGGCTTGAGAGGTAAAATGTAGAGAGAGAAAGTGGGAGCTTGGCTCCCTATTGGGCTGTGGCCAAGAGTGGCCTGTTGTGTGGGCTTGTAGTGCTTGTGAGGCATGGATGTTTTTTAAAAAATGAAGGTCTTTGCTTGTTCTCCTGATTTTGTTATATGTGATATCATTATCAATGGATAAGAAAACTGAATGGCGAGAAAGCGTTGAAAACCAGAGCAGTAATGTTCTTTTAGATGATGCGTTCAGGGCCAAGAAAGCGTAGAAAATCAGAGAGATGCAGGGAGAGACTTGATTTTAGAGAGAGAGATAGAGTTTGGGTTTTAGAGAGAGAGAGAGGGATTTTGAGAGAGAGAAAAACGGTGATGTGTGAGAGACAGAGATGGAGTTTTGAGAGAGACGATGATGTGAGAGAGAGATGGAGTTTTGAGAGAGACGGTGATGTGAGAGAGAGATGGAGTTTTAGAGAGAGATTGAGTTTGGGTTTTAGAGAGAGAAATGGAGTTTCGAGAGAGAGACGGTGATATGAGAGAGGGATGGAGTTTAAATAGGGTGTCATTTTAGTGTTTGTTCGAGTAAAACATTTATGGTTAAAGGGGTCTAAGAGGTTGTAAGATATAAAACATAGAGATATTTTGCTTACAATTAATATTTTCAGTTCTTGAGTCTCATGAGATATGGAAGTTAAAAATAGGGAATAAAATGATATTTTCTTTTAATATAATTATAACCTTTACAAATATTAACAAATAACTTATTCTTAATTTATTATTATTACAATAAATTGTTTTATACAATAATAAAAATGTAAAATAATTTTGAATTGTGTTAAGTTGTTGTATAGAAATTCTTGAATCATAGTTATTATAATATCGTAATTAATAAATTATGTATTGATAATCATATCTTATATTTTTTTATTAATTTATTTGCATTATAAATTATGTAATGTATTATCTTTTCTTAGAGTTGTAAATAATACTTTTTAAATTAGGTGATGTTATAAGATCTTTTAGAATTATTTTTATTTGTATAGTAAAATAATTATGAATATAAACCAATAATTCCAATTTTAGTATATAATATTAGATAGTTGATAATTTTGGATGACTAAAGAAAATTAATGACACTTTGATGTGATACTAATTTCACTTTATATAGGAAATTATTTTTTAATCTTATAATACGAAAAAAATTTCTAATATTTTAAAATTATTTTGATGCAATATTATAATATTATATTATAATTAATATGTATACAAAAGTCTAGACAGGAAAATATCGTCTCAGTATTCACCTATTTTTACAAAGTAATGAAAGTACATATTGCACCATTCCTAAGTTCTTTGAGAAACTAAAAGAACAAATTTTTCGAGATTTATAGTACTTTTTTGAAAAACAAATTGGGACAAAAATTGCCGATTCCACCGATTCTCCGATCCGATCCACGAATTCCCCGATCTGTCACGGGATGGGTGTGACTGTTTCGAGCCACCATTTCATTTTTTTTTAAACCTTGTTTTGAAATAGGTATTTACTTAAAGCATTTGCTCAGGAAGCTAAAGCATATTGAATTTGAACAAAATGTCTTTCATGTTGGATATAGTGATTATCCAAAATCAGCCCTATAAGAAAATCCCATATTATGTGGGATTGAAATTGATATTTAAAGAAAATAAAAATCCAAAAAAATTACGACTCTAGAATATGTCTCTTGGTTCTTGAGATATATGTAATATCTATAAACAGTTTCATATTTGATGGGGAATCCTAATATTATATATATGATGAAAGTGCAAAGAATTTATATGCCATATTTGAGTCACTATATGGGAAATGTAACTTCCTCTAAAGAGAGGCAGGGGCCTTTTAGATGCCCCTCCTGTGCATGAGAGGCAAGGCCTCCCCTTCAGAGAGAAGAGAGCTTCATCCTAGATGCAGGGGCCTCCTAGAGGCAGGGGCCTCTAAGAAGCAAGGGTCTCTTGTGTATGAGAGGCAAGGCCTCCCCTTCAGAGAGAAGAGAGCTTATTATGGAGAGAAATGCCCCGCAGGGGCTTTCTGTACATGAGAGGTAAGGCCTCCCCTTCAAAGAGAAGAGAGCTTTTTATGGAGAAAAACACCTTGATGTGCCTCCTATGGATTGAGAGGCTGGCTTCTTGTAGAGAAGTGGTTCTCATTAAGATTTTGGATGGCTTCTTTTTTTAGTATGAGAAAGTCTAGGTTGCTTTCAATGGTCTCTTCATACATGGACAACTGTTTAGCTATGGAATATAGACGGGTGGACGTGGTTTAGCTAGACATCGACGGGTAGTGCCTATCGGAGATAGTGGGTGTAAAAAGGTTTTAGCTGTAGAATAGATATGGGTCTCTTCCTAGATAGTGATTTAATTGTGGGTTTCATCGGGTGGTGCCTAACTGAGAGAGTGAGTCTAAAAGGGTTTACTCAGCTAGGATTTTATTGAGGGTTAGAGAGAAATCCTAGTCGAGGGTTAGAGAGGTAACTTTATGTCTCAAAATCTGTAATATAACTTTCATTGGTATAGTGGATTTCAGTGTGCTGTGCCAATGGATATAGCCTTTTTGGGGTGAACCACTTAAATCTTTGTTTCTTGTCGAGTGTGTATTTTATGTTTTATTTATCATATTATGGCTTATGCTCTCTCCTATTTTGTTTCTAGCTGGATAAGCACACTATCTTGGTGGAATCCAACTTTAGGGATTCTTCTTTTTGCATGTAAGAAGGTTCCTAAATCCTAACATTGGGCTATAGTGGGTACGGCAGGCAATGGGCCGGACAGCTCGGTTTGGCCCAAATGGCTTGATCCTAAAAAGTGGGGCTTGGGCCATAAACTCCCAATTGGCCCGGCCCTAAAAAGTAAGGTCTAGGCCATAAACTGTGGCTCGAGGGCTGAGCTAAGGATAATGCCAACCTAACTCAATCCGACCTGATCTTTGTTTTTTTTTCCTTACTTTTTCTTGATTTATTATTGGCCTAGGCCCCGGTCTTGCCCTATAGGAACAAGAGCCAAGCCGGGGTTAAGGTTGGATCGGCCCAGCCCTAGCCCGTTGCCACCCTTAATTGTGGGTACAAGTGAAGGTATAGTGATGGACGTGGAAACAAACCACATAGTTTCTCTAAGACAAGTACGAATGGTTGGTGGAACATTTCAAATAGGGGCTTGAGGCGATGTTGTCTTGCGTTGGCCCAAGAGTTGGGTTTTTTTACTCCTAATCGAAGCGCATTTCATTGTGTCAAAAGATTAAACTCATGCCCTAAGGAAAAATGCTATTTAGGAGTACTTTTGGGACCCTAAATTTCGGACAATTAACGTTCTAAATCTAAAGACCAAAAATAGTATAATTACGACTTTCCATTTCCAGTTGTCTCTGCCTCGATCTGTGCGTGCAGCGTAATTCAATAATGAGAGAAATATTTATTCTTGGTCCATTTGGAAAAAAATGGCGCATCTTTTTTTCTAAAAAAAAAAAAAGGAATTTGATCTCTAATTGTTATAATGCAATGGTTTGGGGGTGAATGTTGAAGGATCTGTGCAATTTTGAATCAAAACAAGACTAATATAAGCCTAAAGGAAAACAACTTAGACCAAAAGAGAGAAAAAAGTGAAATAAACAAATCAATCTATAATTGGAGGAACCGGTTCCGAAACCCACTAAATTTGAGTGACAAATTGAGTGGATTCACGATATTTTGCCAGAACCGGCCTCGTCACTAGACTCAATCGATCTGAATTTATGAATTTAATTTTTAATAGGTGTGATTTACGCAAGGCATCAGCAATCAACCCAGAAGATTTCCCACGGTAGGGAGCATACTATCTATTTATTCGCACGGGCAAAGTACATGCTAAGAATATTTTTTTACATCTCAAATTTTGAGGATGTAATTTCTATAACTTATAGAATAATCTCAGAAAAAAATAAAATAAAATAAAATATCTATGTAGTAGAAAAGAACTAATACTTCAAAATCGAATGTAGACCATCCGATTTTTGAAGGGTTAAATCTAAGTATCACCAAACTCAAAATTCAAAATTTTTCTTTTAAAATAATCATCTACCAATTTTTATATAGTTCCCAATATTTTAGACTAAACAAATAAACCTAGCTAGGTG